ATGTTTTATGTTTTTAAGGTATTTTAAAATTACTCTGCCAATTTATAGGCACCACAGCTCAAACGATTAAAGAAAAAAAATTAAAAAAATCCATTAAAAGCACTAAAAGTGCCTTAAGGTAGTTGTCGTGGTACAATATTGTCAAAAAATTTTAGATTATACGCACCGTAAAAGTATACGAGCTTGTAGCTAAGTGATTCATAATTTATTCGCAAGACTGTACCCTGGAGACGTTACCTTTACGTAATACTTTCAAATATTTTCATCCGGCAACGTCGCTTATGCTCAACCAATAGATATATTGGAAACTGAATCAGTGTTTAAATTTACTGCGGAAATAATATCTATACTCGCGTACAGCGTTGCCAAGTTTTTTTTATCTGACACTAGTGATGTATACTTTTTACAAATTGTTGAACTTTAAACGGTTATTTAGAAACAATTGGACGGTCAAAAATGTTTAATTATTTTTTTTTAAACTCAGCAAAAATACATTAAAAGACTGTTAGTTTTTTGAAAGCTTCTGACAGTTAGTTTTTTTTTATAACTAAGAAACTGGTACAGAACTACAGAAAGCGTATACAATCCATGTTAATTATCCAATTTTTAATTAAATTTATCTCGGGTTATAGACCGTCAATCGACTTCAAATTTTAAGGATAATTGTATTGTCACGTCCTTAATATGTATACAAAAATTTAAAATTTTCTGATGGTATGCTTACAGCACGATAACTACTTTAAATATTACATTTTGAAAAAAACGTCAAAACTTTCAAAATGACAGATCACATATTCAAAAAGTCTTTTACACCTTTCAACTAACACCCGAATAGAGCTTTATTTTGAATCAAATTGTAAAAGACAAAACAGAAAATCTTGCGTTTTCTCCTGGATAGGCAAAATTCGGTTTTTTTCGATAATAAAGCTTGAGTACTGGAGAGTTTAAGAGCATCAACAAAAACTTGTAGTTCAGTGTAGATCTTGATATATCTCTGGTGAAATATCCATGTGATACTATGTTAATTTTTGCTTTTACATGCGTTCACTAAATCATTATTTTTTTTCGTAACTTCGCAAAGAAATCCATAAAATTTAAATGGTATAAAATCTTGAACTTGCCTGCATCTGGCCCACTCATAGTGTATGTCAAAAAGTTAATCCACCTTTAACTGTAAGGTAAACTTAACGATTTGTTTAAACAAAATAAACCAGACAAAGTATTAAATTTACCTACATTTCGTCACCTGAGAATTATAGTGTTCTATCTACATTTTCTTTTTTTTATTCAGGTTAGTCTTGTTTTAAGTCTTAAAGATGATATTGATCTATCTATATATAATTGGGGTAGAAATTGTAAAGTTTAAGGCTTAAACTGTACAATTTCTACCCCAATTATATATAGATAGAACAATATGCATCTTTAATACTTAAAACAAGACTAACCTGAATAAAAAAAAGAAAATGCAGATAGAACACTATAATTCTCAGGTGACGATTTGTCAAACCCGCGTGTGTCAACATAAAAACTTACAGACATAATTCTGGTGTTTTTGTATGCTTAATGGCCTACTTGACCGTTTTTAGCATAAAAAGACTTAGTGTTTCATCATTATTTAAAATTGACTTTTTCAATGTTTAGGGAATTTCTGGCCCACAGTGCAACACTTATCTTTTTTATTATTTTCAAATACAAAACAAAATAACGTAGAAACGTGTTTGACAGCTGTTAAAATTACTTTAATCTTAAGGTAGGTACTTAAAATCAATAAATTAACCTTCTTCATTTAAATAAAAGCACTAAAAATTAGAATTACATATACAATATAAATTTTACAAATTTTAATGAAATCACGCAAATTCGAAGAAATGGAGCTGTTGTACCGTACAACTTGTACGTCTGAATGTCAAACGATGCTGTCAATTTTCACACACCCCTGTCACTTTTTTACGCAGACCTGTCACTTTACATTCGAGTTTTGCCTTGCCAATGAAAAGATTCATTTTCTAAGCAACAATGCCATTACGAAATATGACTTTTACATAATGGTCGTAGAAAAAACATATTGTCACAATATGTACAGGGAATCTAACTCTAGCTACGTCACTGAGGACGTTGCTTTATACATGAAATATCATATTAAGGGCTAGATTAAATCCAGCGTCTGTATTCATTCATGATATACATTAGCATGCAGGTAGTACCTCTGGATACAATAGGTTTTCGACACCGGGTAAACTGAATTAATTTATTCTCGATGTGAACAATTATTTCCAATTTTGGACTTGCGAGATGATATTTTCAGAAATTCGTCCCAGGGGTGTGCAATTAATAAAGACATTCCTATACGGAAACTACATAATTGCAATGTTTATCGCACATGCAATGAGGGTTTATTGTTATGTGCTTTGTAGTTTGAATGCTGACCAACTGACTGTAATAATATTCACATTGTTCCGTTGTACCTGTTGAACCAGAGCAAATTATTATTTGTAATAATATTCGGCATTGTGCGGTCTGGGAATGCACGTGTAGAAATTTAATAGATTAAATTTGTAGCCAGAAATTACTTGATCAATACTAGAGAAGATACTGATTTAATAATTAATTTGAAATAATGAACATTAACATAAATTGATTTTACAGGAGCAGAATTTTTTTTACTGAGATATTAGTTAATTTCAGCTAAAATCGGTAAAATATGCAAATATACGGTTCTTTTTGAAGTGACTTGAGATTTTTGCTTTCACCTCACTGATACTTCATATGATATGCGAGGGTATCAGTTTGAATTGGGTCGGAAATAAAGTCAAGGGGATAAAGAAAGTACTTGGTTGATTCACGTTTTAAAAATAACATTACCTTGATGGAGTCGTGTTTATCAAATAAAACTTTTATTAATGTAGGTAGGTATTATAAATAATTTAAAGCAAATTTAAAAGAGCAATATTTTAATTTAATTACGGGTTACGCTTCTTTACAGAACAAACCTCTTATTTGCGCTGCCACAAGACAAACCAGCGCTTTTTAATAGATGGTACTAAAAATGTGTCATTTTTTATGCTTAATCACATCACTACATTTTAGCTCACTTTAACTGAAGGGAGTTGAGATCTAAGTAAAAAAGAACCCACCTATGGGTAGCATTTGTAGCATATGGCGTATTATGCTATAAGCATTGGAATAATATTTCATTCAAAATAAAAACAGAGACACTGTAGGTAGGTGAAAATATCACAAATAAACGCTCGGACACGTATACTTAATTTTTGGTCGTAGATTACAAATCCGTGCTTGCTGTAGCTGTATCAGGTCAAAATTCAAAGATAATAGAAACACCCTGTATAAATTTAAACACCCTGTATAGGGTTGCCATACGTCCGTTTTTTTAACGGACAGTCCGTTTTTTTCAGGGCGTCCGTTTGTCCGGTCCGTTATTTTTTTGTGTCCGTTATTTTTAAAATTTAGAATCCAAAATTAAACCTTATATTAATAACTTTATGAAGGTAGTGTTTTATTCGCCATTTATCATTTCAAGCCTTTTACCACGGCATAAAACTATAGCGAACTGTTTTACCAGCTGGACAAACATAAATACAAGCACGCCGCGGCGCACACAATTTTATAGTCATTGCGCTTCAGTGGCCTGCTGTTTCTCTATGTCGATGTCGCACGGAATCAAACGAACCAACAATTGACTGTCAATTATTGACATAAAACGTGGAAATTCCCTACGGGTGGCTGGTGTTTTGACAATACAAAGTATTACGTTTTCCAGTGTTTATTAATTTATTTAGCTTTGGATACAGCGTCAGCAGACATAGGTAAAGGTCTTTTAGCATGTAGTTTAAGATTAATCATGTTTAAATCATTATCTAGAAGTAAATAATGGGAAAGCGAAAAGTATGAAAATGAATTTTCCTTCATAAAAAAAGGAAAATTAGAACATATGGCAAGGTGTACAAAGTGTAATGCAGAATTTTCAATTTCACAAGGAGGCCGACGCGATATAATACAACAAACAAACATAGGAATATTTCGAATGCCTCAAATATAAGTAAAGTTGTTACTTCGTTTTTTAAAAACGTACAACCTACAGAACAAGATTTAATTTGTGCCTCAAAGGAAGCGGCTTTTGCCTATCATACTACCCAGCATGATTTTAGTTTTAATTCATCTACATGCACGTCAAAATTAATTCACTCTCTTTATGACCCAAAATTTTGTAGCGCTAAGACGAAAACAGAAGCTATTATAGTTAATGTTATTGCTCCTGATATTTTCAGGATTTTTTTCAAAATTTGCAGCAATCAAATTTTATTACCGTTATAATTGACGCTTCAAACAGATTAGACAAAAAATTGGTTCCAATTATTGTAAGATACATATACAACTATGAAATTAACACAAAATTATTGGAATTTCAAGAACTGCCTGGCGAGACGTCGGACATTTTGACTACATATGTTTTTAAATGTTTAGAAAAATTTCATTTGCTACAAAAAGTAATTTGTTTTTGTGCCGATAATACTAACACAAACTTTGGTGGTGCAAAGCGCAAGGGTACAAATAATGTGTTCACAAAACTTCAAAATAAATTAGGTCATAATTTAATAGGGATTGGGTGCGCGGCACATATTGTGCACAACTGTATTTAAAATGCAGTTAACAAATTGCCTGCTTTGGATATTGAATGTGTTATTGTAAAAATCTTTAAATATTTTTCCATTTATACTGTAAGAACTGAAAGATTAAAAGAATTTTGCGAATTTGCTGAAGTGCAATATAAGAAAGTCCTAAGTCATTCCAGTACAAGATTTTTAAGTTTATTACCATCAATTCACAGAGTTCTGGAAATATTTGAAGGCCTAAAATCCTTTTTTATTTCTGAAGAAACCTGCCCCTATCTTTTAAAAACCTTTTTTGAGGACGAAAGAAGTGAATTTTACCTTTGTTTTGTACATGGTATATTAGAACTCTTTAATAAAACAATATTAATAATGGAGGCAGAACAACCAACTGCAATTGAAATTTTTACATGGTATAGAGAACTAATCAAAAAAATAGAAGAGAGAAAAAAACAAAAATTTGTACCATTTTTAGCCCAGCAAATTTTAATCAAAAAAGGCGACTCAGGTCAGCTCGACTCCAAAAAACTCTTGTTAATTATTGATACTTTTTACGAGAATTGCTTGAAATACTTGAATTTGTGGGAAAACAATTTTGAAGAAATTAAAAATTTTAATTGGGTTTTATTAAAAGAAAAACTAGAATGGGCTTCAATTCACAATTCTGCGGAAATAATTAATAAACAGTTATCTAGTAATGTTATTAACTTTGATGATTTGTTTGATGAAGTATCTCAAATTAATGATATTTTGGATAAAAGCAAAAAGGCTTTGGATGAATTAAATACTCCCGAAGAAAAATGGAAATCCATATTCTCTGCATCCGAAGATGGTAGTTTAATGAATATAAAAAAATTGTAGAGTTTATATTCTGTTTGCCTGGAACCTCGGCTACCGTTGAACGTATTTTTTCCATTATGAAAAATATTTGGACGCCAGAGAGGGGTAGGCTTGCTGTCTCCACAGTGAAATCACTCATTCAAATAAAAGTAAATACAGAAATGGATTGTTTGTCATATTATAATAAAGTTAAAAATAATAAACAAATCTTAAAGAAAGTGTTATCATCAGAAAAATATGAATGGTCAAAAGATAAGTCAGAAGCAAGTACCTCTATGTCTTCCAAATAAATAGAAAAGTTTTTTTTTTCATTATTTTATTTTTATTAGTTTATTTTTAGAATATTTATGAATGTTTTTTAAGCTGACTCTCTATCTTTATTTAGGTAATAAATATTTAAAAAAAAAAGTTTTTTTGTCGGGGAAGGGGGTAAGTCCGTTATTTTTTGAAATAAAATATGGCAACCCTACCTGTATAAATTTTTTTTAATTAAATTTTGCGGGACCCACACATGAGTTCCAAATTAAAAAAATAACAAATTCTTGCAAAATTTGAAGTTAATTGATCAAAAGGTACACGTGTCCCTAAGGGTTTTTCTTAGATAAATATTTATAAATTATAATAAATTATAATTTAGGAAATTTGAAATGTTTTTTTTTTATTGAGTATAGGTAATTAAAGATTTTATATTAAATGAAATAAGAAGCATAAAATTGTTGGCATAAGATGTGGATTATTTTATTTTACAAATTATAATATATCAGTATACAGTGTCCCAGGATCGGATTTCCTGATACAGATAAACCGATACAGCTAAACCGAGCACGGATTTGGAATCTACGACCAAAAATTATATTTACGTGTCCGAGCGTTTAGCTGTGATATTTCAAAAGTTAAAAATTTACCTACAGTGTAATTACTCTGCCTGCTGTTATTTTTTCCTAGGAGGTGTTCCTGGGTGTTCTGGGTAGTTTTTAAATAGAGTTGTGGGTTATTTAAAGCTAGGTATTATTTATTTTATGCAATAATTAATTCCTTAATAAAAAATATTGCTATTTAGTTGAGTTTCATTGACTTTGTTTCCTTGCGTATTTCCATTAACTACTGCTTCCTGTTTTAAACGGAAATACCCTGATATTTTCACCTTTTAATCCAGGTTTTTAAACTTTGGAGAGGGCAACCCTACATGAACCCTTTTTTTTTAATAAATTTTAACAAAATATAAAATAAAGGTTTCAAGTGGAATACGATATTTTGGAGTATAAACACCTTCCACATTTTGACGTGTAACGATACTACAATCAATATCGATATATATATATATATATATACAGTGTGGAACTTACTTATAGAATAAAAATCGTTATTCGTTGAGAAAAGATTTTTATGAAAAACGCTCGGACACGTAAACTTTAGTTTTTTATTCCAAATCTTATAATGGTATTTTTAAATTTTATGCCCCCACCATTTCCCCCCGCACATTAGGCACCCTTATCTTTAATAACAACCCCACTTTTTTTCATCGAAAATTGATAGTGCTTTTTTTTTTTGAGTACGACGATACCACTTAAGTAGGGTTTAGTAACCATAATTTTCTATATAGGGTGAATATTTAAAAATTACAAGTATGAATTTTTTATTGTTATTCTATGATTTAGTTTCTTGTGTTGTGGCTTTCGCTATTTAGATATTCATGTTTTTTCGCTTTGTTATTGTTTTTTGTTAATGCCATTTTTTGCGTTTGTCCTTTTTCCATTGTTTACATTTTTTGCATTGTTTAAATTTTTATTATTAATGAAACATTTTGCGCTTTACTTATTGAAGTATTTTGTTAGATCCAAGTATCAGTTAATATTTTAGTTAAAAAATGCGACACTTGACAGAAACTCTGCGAATAGAAATATTAATGATGATTGGTTACGGTGATATGTGCAGATCACAACAGCAAGTTGCAAACCTTTTTAATGGAAAATACCCAGATTTACCACCACTTTCTCAGGCAACTGTGTCTTAAATACATGCACAACCATTACGCAGAACGCCTCATTTTATTGATGAAAATGTGAACGTTAATATTTTATTAGCTTTTCAAGAAGATCCAACAACTTCTACGCGTCAGGTTGCACGTGAAAACGACGTTAGTCATTCGACCGTTTTAAGATGTGTTAAAACCGAAAAAATGCATCCATATAAACTACAACACGTACATTGTACGTCGTACAATAATTGATTGATGGTGATTCTGATAGAAGATTACAATTTTGCGAGCAAATGCTGCATATGTTAAACAGGAATGTTATTTCTTCTGCAGATATTCTTTTTTCTGATGAATCAACATTTCTATTAAATGGCGAGGTAAATATGCAAAATTGCAGGTACTGGGCAGAAGAAAATCCCCACTGGATGCGATAAAGTCATACCCAACGTCCTCAGAAAATCAACGTTTGGGCTGGTATTGTTGGTGATCATGTGGTGGGACCTATTTTCATTGAAAATCGTAACGGGGCAAGAAATCTGGATATGCTAAGAGAACAAGTTGTCCCAACTTTAGCAGAGTTGTTTCCAAATCCATTAGAACCTAATCTTCCCAATGAAAGGATATGGCTTCAACAAGACGGTGCCCCACCCCACTATGCTCTTCCTGTACGGAATTATTTAAATGACACTTTTCCACACAGGTGGATCGGAATAAGAGGTTTTATAGAATGGCCAGCAAGATCACCGGATCTAACACCTCTAGACTTTTTTCTATGGGGATATCTAAAAAACAGGGTGTTTAAAACACAACCTGCTAATTTAGATGAATTAAGAAACATAATTACTGGAGAAATTAGGAACATAACACCGGAGGTTTTAAACAGAGTGCGGGAACAATTTCACAGTAGATTACTAAAGTGTCAGGAAGTGGACGGGGGACATTTTGAAAATTTATAAGATTGAAGAACAGTTTATTTTTGAATTTTTAATTAATTTTAAAATAAAAAGTTTAGTTTTTTAATTTTTCATTATATTTCCACCCTGTGTTGAAAACTGTTTACTAAACCCTACTTATATCGCCATACTCAAAAAAATGTGCACTATCAATTTTCGATGAAAAAAAATGGTGTTGTTATTTAAGATAAGGGTGCCTAATGTGCGAGGGGGAAAATGGTGGGGGCATAAAATTTAAAATTATCATTATAAGATTTGGAATATAAAAACTAAAGTTTACGTGTCCGAGCGTTTTTCATAAAAATATTTTCTCAACGAATAAGTGAGTTCCACACTGTATATATATATATATATATATATATATATATATATATATATACAGTGTGGCCCACTTAAGATGGAAACACCCCCGTAACTTTTTTATTTGTAACCCGATTTTATTGAACAAAGGCTCAAAAGATAGAGAATAAAAAACTCTATTAGAGCTGTTAAAGTTGTTTTCAAAGTCACCCGACACATGCCTACTATAATTTTTTTTCTGTGTCAAAATTAAAAAAAAACATTTAGGGTAATTTTTACGAAAAAAATAAGTACGCCACTGAATTTGGCATGCTTAAAAATGGGTAAATACCAAATTTCATTAAAAACAATCGATTGATAATTATTTTACAACGGTTTATTTATTGATTTTTTAAATGTTTATAACGACAATAGATACACATATAAAAGGTTTAGGAAAAAAATAGGTACGCCACCGAGTTTAGCAGGCTTTAAAATGGGTATATGTATACCAAATTTCATCAAAAATAAACAATTAATAACTATTTTGGGCAAGTTTATTTTTTTACGTTATAATCATTAATAATTAATTATTGCTACAAAACAAAAACTAAGATAGCTATGCTTACAACTTCAAACAAACGTCAAACCAAAAACAGGCGATTTGACAGAAAATAGTAGCGTCCTTTTTGTGTATTTTTTAACAGTGTATTTAAAAGTTCTTATCTACAATCATTATGGCCCATCAGTTAAATTTAGAGCACAAAATTGAAATTGTCCGTTTAGTAGGAGATAACGTTCGTTCAGCGAGAGAAACAGCTAGAGAATTTAATAATAGGCATCCGGAAAGGCAGCCTATAAGCAGTAGTACTGTTTTTAAAATAAATAAACTATTTAATGAAACTGGTATGGTTTTAAACAAGTTAAGAAATACTAATCCACGTCAACGGCAAAGACCAAATGATCAAATAATTCTGAATTATTTTAATAACAATCCGAAAGTAAGTTTAAGAAAGGCTAGCTTAGATTTAAATATTTCAAAAGAATCCTTAAGAAGATGTTTAAAAATTAATAAAGTAAAACCTTACAAGCCTAAATTTTTACACACTCAACTGCCAGTGGATAATGAAAGAAGATTGGAGTTCTGTCTATTGGCACAGGGCGAATATCTCAATAACCCAAATTTTTTTAAACATGTATTATTTACTGATGAAGCAACTTTACTACTAATGGAATAGTCTCATCTCAAAATATTAGACATTGGTCTGTAAATAATCCAGATTGGATTATTAATTGTAGAAGTCAGTACTCACAAAAAGTAAACGTGTGGTGCGGTATTCTAAAAGATAGGGTCATAGGACCTTTCTTTTTAAATGGAAATCTAAATGGTCAAAGTTTTTTACAATTTCTTCAGGAAGAAGTTACAAATGCTTTGGACAATTTACCCATTAATTATCATAGAAACCTTTATATTCAATTAGACGGCTGTCCGATTCATAATTCAGTTAATGTGAGGCAATGGTTAAATTTTGAAAATAAATGGATAGGTCGCAATAGCCCATTAATCGAATGGTCTCCTAGGTTTCCCGATTTCACTCCTTTAGATTTTTTTATGGGGTACCATAAAAAACAAAGTTTATAAATTACGTCCTCAGAACATTGCAGATCTTGAAGCCGGCATACGCAACGCCTGTGAGGAAATAACTCCACAGCAATTGAGAAAAGTCCAAAAGAATATTTTACGTAGATTTAATACGTGTATTGAATTAAATGGTGGACTAGTGGAAGCTTCCCGGGTTTAGTTTTATTTT